TATAAACTAATATAAATCCATTTGAAAGAAATGATACTAATAATTATTATTTAAATTAATAAATATTAAATCAGTGGCGGATCAAGTGTTTTGTGTTGTTAGAGACAACTTCCAGACATAGAGCAAACTTTAAACATTCATTTGTTTATACTTACATCAAATAGGGATACTTTGCAAAAAATTGCAATGATTGGGGCCCGGGACCAAAAATCCTCCAGGCAAATTATCCCCCTACCTCAAATTTGAGGGCAACTAGTTTGCAACATTTTTTTTTTTTTACTTTTCTCAACTCAATTAGAATTCATCATTAAATTTCATATTTTATGAATTAATCTCTTATCGTTCAAAAATAATAGCAACATAAAAATTGTGACCTCAAATTGAGGGGAATCTAAACTAGGGATTGCAATCCCGCAAGATCCCAAATTATTTTAGCTCATGCTAGATCACACAAAAACTATTGCAGGATCCGCAGGATTTGCGGAGTTTTAATATTATTGCTTTTATATAAAAAAAAAAAAACAGTTCTTCAAACAAAAAAGACGAAAAAGATATCAAATGAAAGTATTTAATGTATTTGCGTAACAAATCCATTTAAAAGTTTACTAGTCATAAAATGCACAATGAAATGTAAACTGAGAAACTCTTTCAAGAATCACAAAAAAAATTTTTTTGCTTTGTTAATAGTCATAAAATAGTCATAAAGTGCATAATGAAATGTATACTGAGAAACTTGTTGAAATTTTTTTTGTTTTGTTAATGATTATGTTGAAATTTTTGCTAATGAGCATGTTGAAAACATGAAATTGAAAACATGAGTGCGTGATGATAAATATAGCGCACTACTTTTTAAAAAGAGTTCAAAAATTATTTACATCAAGATTTTAAAACAAAAGTACCTACTAAGCATGTCACAAATTAAAACTATATGGAATTATTTTAAAAAAAGTGATAAAGAAGAAAATGCAAAGTGCATGTTATGTACGGCTATTTTAAAAATTAGTCAAAGATTAACAAAAGGGTTATTATTCCATTTAAAAACTAAACATGGCACCGATTTAAAATCAAACATTAAACACATTTAAATCAAACATTAAAAATCAATTTAAAATCAAACATTAAAAACATTAAACATTAAAATTAAACATAAAAAATCAGGTTTAAAATCAAACATTAAAAACATTAAACATTAAAATTAAACAACGGAGCTTCAACTTCAAAACAGCATGAATCAGTTGAACTAGAGTTTAAATATACATCGACTGTGAAGACAAAGAAGTATTTCTATCAAAATAGGTCAGAACAATAGACACATTTTTCATAAAAGATATTTCTATGGAAAAAATCACGCATGGTTGCTAAAGATGGATTTACATTTAATAGTTTATGAACATCTTCAGATTTGTGGTATTTGTTTTCAAAGAGTGGTTTCCGGCTCCCTGCTTCACCTAATACTATAAGATCAATGGTAGTAAAATTTTCAGATTCTGTAAAAGCAGATATAATGCAAAAATTTATATCACGAAAAAAGCAAAATCAAAAGTTTTCAATAACGTTTGACGAATGGACATCACAAAATAGTCAGAGAAAACTTAACTTAAATGTACATGTGGAGGAGAAACACTTTAATTTTGGATTGATTCAGATCCATGGATCGTGTAATGCACAATATTGTGTCAAGTTAGTTGCAGGAGGGCTAAATAGCTTCAAAATCGACCTCCAAAAAGACATTATCGCCATGACCACTGATGGAGCAAGTGTGATGGTGAAAGTCAGTAAAATGACGTCTTGCTATTATCAACCATTTTATTCTCATGGAATACAACTTGCAGTTATTGATATCTTATACAAGAAAAACAACAAAGTCGAAGAATGGTTTACTACAAATGAAAATTGCAAGATAAATATAAGAACACTGATGATGATGAAGTTATAAATAAAGAATATGGTTTGACAATAATTTTGGCCCAACCATCTGCTGAATTGGTTAGCAATTACAAAGATCTCATAAAAAAAGTGAGAAAGGTTGTGAAAATATTTATTTTCAAACTCTCCTGTCAAAAATGATACATATTTACATAAGTATATCCTACATGAACACAGCAAAAAGCTCAAGTTGATTTTTGATTCTAAAACTAGGTGGAACAGTATGTTTGATATGTTAGAAAGATTTCATAGACTAAAAGTGTGTATTGACAAAGCCTGAACTGATGTTGGGTCAGAAATTCGTTTCACCCAAGAAGAATGATCCCAAATCAATGACTTAATTATTTGCCTGGCACCACTAAAACTTGGTTTCATACTATTATGCAGGAGAGAATTGAACCTTGTCACTGTGAAAACAACTTTTCAATTTATGCTAGATAAATTACAAAAGCAATCATCACTTTTGAGCATTGATTTAGCCACGGCACTTCATGAGAGGTTTACACAACGTCGTAATAAGGATTTAAATGGACTACTGGTTTACTTACAAAATCCTAAAAAATATGAACAAGAAATTTAAAAAAATGAAAATACTTTTTCAATGCCAAAGAGCACCGTTATGCGTCAAGAAATAAAAAAAATATAAATAGAGTTTATACAATTGAAAGAAATAAAGATGAAGAAAATGAACTTGAAGAAAAAGAAGCTGTAGATTCTATTAACAATTTCCAAATACTTACTCATACAATCCTATCGCTGAAAAAAGATTCGGAAAATCATATACAGAAAGACAAGAAAAGCTGGATAGAAATTGTAAAGGAGATACCAAATTTAGATTCTTTAGACTTTGATAAACTATTGAAGCAGGAAATGTCTGCCTATGAAAGAAATGGAGTAAGAGACAAGTTTCTAGATATAGCTCATAATTACTTGATGACCATGTTTACCAACAAGCTTAGAGGCCGATTGAGCTTTTTCGGCTGCTGACTATATATGCAGTACTTTGAGGATTAGATTATATGATGATACTATAAGTAGAGCCTGTTTCTTATGAGCGCATTTCTTACAATGATTTTCTCATATTTGATATTTTTAAAAATAAGTAAAGCTAAAAGACACTCTACATAAAGCTAAATAACGTTTTACGGCTCCGGCTAAAATATTTAAAAATAAAAATATTTAAAAAGAAAAATGTTTTAAGTAAATAAAAATTTTTTTCTATATATTATTTACCCAAAGCTATAGTTTTTTAGTTCAAATTTTAGTTCTAATTTTACCCAGAGGCATTGTATCTAAAAAAGACATCTTTTGAACGTCCCAAAGACATCCAAAACGTTCAAAAGACATTGAAAATATTCAAAAGATGTTTAAAAGATGTCTTTCTTATGTCCTCACAGAGTCCTCTGAAACTTTATACCTTTGGGATCGCCCATAAATTACGCAACACAAAACTTGTTTTAAAAATATAAGTAGGAGATCATTTTGCTCTTTGGCACGGTAGTTTCCACAGGTTTATATTCTTCGTTTAATTAAAAGCTCTGCGATGGAAAACTGTTAATCCTTTGTCTTTTGTCTATAAGTTTAATATTACGTTATGCAATTTATGGACGATCCCTTTTGGGTTGTTCTCTGTTCAATAAGCTGGGATTTTGTGTGAATGATCGTCGAATACTAATTGCTGCTTTCTTATCCTTAAAGCCACTCTTTCTTCCAGATCCTTTTGCTTGTTCGATAGAGAGCTCTTGTATTGTTTTATGACCATATAAACAATAGTTGTGCTAGATAAGATCATTTAGCAATTGAAAGTAACGATGCAGAAGGATTTTGTAGATAGTTGTGCAGAATTTTTTCCATTTAATTTTAATTAAGTGAAACATTTCGACTTGTTTGTTGATGTTGTTAATTAATACTGTAATTACTTAATGTATTTATGCAAAAAAAAAAAATTTAGTAATGTGTTAGTGACAAGTTTTAAAACAAAATTCATCGTTCCAAATTTAAGGATCTCATGCTTTAGTATAATTTAAAAGATGAGAATAACCTTTGATCATTAAATCGTGCATCAAATACTTAAAATCATAGTATCAGTATAAAAATACAATATAAAGCAATTTATGCACTACTGTAATGTTTTCATAAATAATTTACTTCTTTTTTTAATAAAGTATATTAAGAAATACTATTAAAGGATAGTTTTTTGTTGAGCACAAAATTGTTAAAATATTTTTATTACGTTTTGGCAAGACCATAAATGTTAGAAAAAATATATGAAAAAAATAGAAACTCAATAAATAATTCAAGTTAAAAAAAACAAATCAGTTAAACAATAAATGAACAAAGTTTGACAACAGTAAAAAAGCCGCTCGATTTTTGCGGCTTCACCAAAAAACAGTGGCTCTCCGGCTCCGGCTCCACAAGCCTGATTTCACAAAATTTGAAATCTAACAATGAATTCTAATTGAGTTAAGAAAAGTAAAAAAAATATGTTGCAAACTAGTTGCCCTCAAATTTGGGGGCATTTTTGTTCCTGGGCCCCAATCATTGCAATTTTTGCAAAGCATCCCTATTTGACGTATATAACATGAATGTTTAAAGTTTGCTTCATATCTGGAAGTTAGCTATCTTTAACACCAAAAAACGCTGGAAAAGTTGTTTTCACTTCACCCTAATGTATATATCCTCCTCCTAAGACTACTATAAATAGACTATTCATAAACAGAAAATACAATACTGTATACTGTTTATTAAGGTGTCCCTTAAAACTTTATTTTCTGAAATAAATATTATTTTTGAAATTTTTATATAATTTTGCTTCATATGAGTACCAGGTTGACATATTTTTGAAAAACTTTTTTTTGAAAATATTAGAAATCCATTAATTATTCAAGGGTCTTGGGGGACCCCTTAAAATATTTTTTATTCAAAAAAAATTTAAACCTAGTGTTTTTGTATTAGATAGAAAACATTTAGGGGGTGAGAGCAGATTATATTCAAAAATGTTGTTTTAAGCAACACCCTACTGTTTATAAAAGGAAAAAAACTATAAACAGTCTATTATCTAAAGCAACATATACCACTTCACTTGAGAACGTTCTTTTGAACAAAGTTGGAACCTAAAAGTAAAGAATTAGCATTAATATGCATTAAAAAATTTACACAAAATGTTTTATATAATTATCTAAGTTAAAAAACTCAAAAAACCTAAAATTATAAAATAAAAAAATCTAAAGATTAAAAATAAACTCAAAAAGTCTAAAATTTTAAAAAATTTAAATCAAAATTTTAAAAGTTTTTTTAAAACTTCTTCATAAAAAGTTCCATACTTTTAAATGTGATTCTGAGAACAAAATTTTCCAGTTTTTTGTTTTTTTATTTTTGTTTATTATTAACAAGAAAAATATAACTTATGTCTGTGTATAATAAAACAGGAATCAAAACAGCCCCTACTATAAAATCCTAAATAACACATATAAAAGTATGTATTTTGCTGACTTTAGTATGTATTTTGCTGACATAAATAGTACCTTTGCCAAATTTTTTAATTTTGGCAAAGGCACTATTTATGACAGGTTTTGCTATTATTGCTATTGCTCTAAATTAAAAAATATTTACTTCCATTTAATAAAATAGGTAGCTTTTACATTAATATATAAATTTATTTTTAAATTATTTTTATTTAAAGTATAGGGTAAAGCGGGGCATTAAGCCCCATGGGGCATTAAGCTCCATTTACAACGTTGATAAAATAAAATGTCAAACGTTATTGTATTAAGAGAGAGAAACATTAAATTTTACATCATAGATATTAACTAACCAATCAGGGAACCTTTTTCAACAATAATTGGGCTTCTAACCAACGGCATTGATATTTAATTAGAATTTATAGATGAGTGATTTTTCCATCTAGTTTTCCGTTTCCTTCAAACTTGTTGAAAAACTTCCATTAAAATAGCGCGTATTTGTTTTGACTTAAAATACAAGTACATATAAATGCGCGTTTGTTTTGACTAAAAATACAAGTAAATATAAACTTAGTAAGTACTATTTTTATCTTTATAACTATCTGTGTATGTAATCAATGAGTTAAAATACTAATATTTCTAGAGCAAATTAAGGAAAATTTTAACAAAGTAAAATGGCCGTTAGATAAATGTCTAAGAAATTGTTTATAAATAGCTCTAAAATTCACTTTATTACTAAAATTCCATTAAATATTTTGAATAGAAAGCATTTCTAAGAGAAATTTGATTCTTTTGATTATTAATTAGTTTAATTAGTTTTTAAAAACTATTTTTTTAATTAGCAGGGACTTAATGCCCCCAAATGCCAAAATGGTGATTAAAACAACCAAATAAAATTGATCAGATAATTAAAAACCAATGTTTTAATTTCAAAAACATTACACAGATATATTATAAATGGAAAACAGTTATTTATTTTTAAAAAAGTTATTTATTTTTAGAAAGAAAAAAGTTATTTATTTTTAGAAATAGTTCAATACTATTTTAAATATAGTTTTATTAATGGAGCTTATTGCCCCTTTATTTAGCAGAATGGTTCGAACATACAAAAAGAGAGAGGAACAAGGAAGAAAGTCGTATGCAATAAGCCAAGCAATGATAGATGCCTACAATTCCATCATATGTAAGCAGATGTCTGCCAACCATGCTTTCATGCATTATGGAGTTGATAAAAAGGCTCTTTTAAGAAGAGTACGAGGGGAAATACAAGTAAATTCTCATCCAGGGAAGCCAACTGTTTTAACATCTAAGCAAGAAGAAGAACTGGCAGACTGCCTTATTGTGTTAGCTGAGTGGGGTTGGGGTTTTAGTAAAGAGGAGGTAAAAGACATAATACAGGAATTTGTAAAAGAAAATGGTATCGATGTTCCTTTCATCAATAGTCGACCAAGTAGGGACTGGTTGTGTGGCTTTTTGCAACGCCATCCGAAAGTAGTTCCAAGAAAAACAGAGCACCTCAGCAATGCGAGAGCCAAGGCTGAAGACCCTGAAGTCATTAAGAAATGGTTTCAGCTGGTCCAGAAAACTCTACAAGATGCTGGAGTTATCTGCCTACCAAGTCAAATATTCAACTGCAATGAAACAGGTTTTGTCACTGACCCAAAAACCCAAGTTGTGTTAGCAGAAAAAGGTGCTACTAGAGTGACTCAGAGCATTGGTGGGGCTCAGGACGCAAGCAAATAACTGTAAATTTTGCATGCTCTGCAAGCGGCCAGATACTGCCACCTTATGTTGTGTACAAGGGAAAAAATTTTGGGTTTGAGTGGGTTCAGGGTGGCCCTGATGGAGCTGCTTATACAACAAGTAAAAAGGGCGGGATGGAATCACCTCAGTTTTTGGATTGGTTTCACAATATTTTTCTTAAGAAAAACATCTTGAAAGCCACAAAAGAATCCTCATATTCGATGGACATGCCTCACATGTGAGCTTGCCTCTTATTGAATCAGCAAAAAATAACAATGTCATCCTACTACGTTTGCCCTCTCATCTAACCCATCTCCTCCAACCTCTGGATACATCAGTTTTCCGACCTGTGAAGAGCAAATGACAAAGCCTGCTATTGAAATATGCAAGAACGCACTATGGACCAGTATCAAAAAAGCATTTCCCTGGCCTGCTACACAATCTTTTCCAAAGTTCATTCACAATAGAACAAGTCAAAAGTGGTTTTAAGGGAACTGGCATTTTTCCATTTAACAAGGATGCCATTGACATAAGCTCCTTTAAACAGTGTCCTCAAGTTATGATGTCTACAAAAAATGCTACAGAAAAACCCACATTGCCCACTCAAACTGTGCCATGCTCTACAAAAGTACTTCCCATCACTAGTGCTCACAATGCATTAACATCACTAATATGTGTATCATATTCAACATCAATGTCAACTTCTGCATCATCAACAGAATTATCATATTTATCTTCAGCAACTGCTTCAACACCTGCTTCAGCAATTGCAGGACCTTCAAACATCATTGACACTTCAGCACATGCAGGACTGCAAACATCAATGTTTACTTCATTATCAGGAAAGTTAGAGACTTTTTTCTCAAAGAACTTTAGCCTAGATTTGCCCAAACTTCAGGATATCGCAGGTCGGCTAGAGTCTCCAGGTTTCGCTACGGAGAAAGCCTAACAGGTGATGAATGTTTGAAGCGACTGAGAGATGAAGCAGCAAAGAAAGATAACACTCCAAGAAAAAAGATCAGCAGAAAAAAAAATCTTCTAGCTAGAGATGATAGGGACTGTGATGAGGAGGACGGCACTGTCTGCCTAAAGTGTAATATTCATGGAGCTTACGAAGAACAGTGGGTCTGCTGTGACTTATGTGATGGTTGGTATCATGTTAAATGCACAGAAATTCCAGATGGGGCTGATATTGAAGCCATGGAATGGATCGACGAAATTTGCCTACAAACAATGTGAAAATATATGTTTAACATCTGGAGCTTATTGCCCCGATTTCTCAAATTTTGAGTCATTGTTAGTTGTAATTTTTTAACTTTTTTTTCACTGTAAGATTATAAATTTTTCTGATTAAAGCTTTTCTACTTAAAGAAATATGTGTTGTCTATTACTTAAAAACATTTTGAGTTTGAATTTAATATTTATTTACTTATTTCGAATAGAAGAAATTAAAGTTCTTAAAAACATGGGGCTTAACGCCCCGCTTTACCCTATTTATTGTGCATATATTGTTTTAATAACTATTAAGCTTACTGTTTATCTGTTCATCAATAAAATTGTAAACTGTTCATCAATAATATTGTAGACGGTATCTATTTTTGTGAAAAATATATTGATTGATTGAAAAAAAAAAACTACAAGATCAACCACAAATTATGTTTCTGTTCGTTTACAATTTAAAACAGACATTACAGTATTATTATTATTGTAATATATATAACAATTTACGAAACATATATATATTTTTAAGTAAAACTTATTTTTAGACTAATTTGTAATCATTTAAACAAAAATAATAAGTTTTAAGTTTAGAAAAGGCAGCTAAGCGCTCCCTCAACCACCCCTGGAACGCTTTGATACATCTTTATTTCTCTTTTAATCTTGTAAGACTTTTTAATCTTGTAAGCATATTTAAACTCTACATATTGACCATTTAATTATAAAAAATGAAGTTAAGAAATGTATTAGGTAGGTATGTATGTATAAATATTTGCCTGAATATAAAGCATTAATTTAAACTGCACTTAAATCTTTATTGTTCAAGAAAGTGTTTTGTGATTAAATACAAATTTAACTAAATATCAACTAGTTTTTATTTTTCAAATTTTTTAAATTCTTTAAACTGACTTTAAAGAATGTAAATGGGATATATTTCTCTAATCATCAGGCATTGTCTAATTATTAGGCAAAAATTGAAACCGCACTTTTTACTTTTACCTATTTTTCAAGAAAGTGTTTGCTTATGCTTAAATACACATGAAACTAAAAATCAACTAGTTTTAATGCTGAAATCATTTAAATTTATCAAAATTGACTTTAAAGACTATAATTAGGTTATCTAAATAGCGTACTTTTGGCATAAATTACGTTAATGCTTTTAAGTATATTAAAAGCATTCACGTAATTGTAATCAGCAATGTAAAACACTAGCAAATATGACTTTCAACGAAAAGAAATATCTTACGTATTGATTGCTGAGAAAGCGACTGGAAAAAAATTGAGCCATTTCAAGAAATAAAAAGTGCTAATAGCAGTTTAACCGAAAAAAGAACAGTTTTTAACGTTCCATTAAAACTTAAAAGCGCTTGCGCGTGTTTACTTGTTCGCAATCTAATCAAGCAAAAAAAACAAAAAAAAACAAGTTCAATTACCATTGTTCAATTACCATTGCAGCTCGCTAAATTCTATAACAGTATTCTAACAAAGGGAAAGGTACCAAACAATCTATCAACTTCAACAATTATTCTACTTATTAAGTCATAAAAAATCACTTAATAACCCAGATAATTACCGAGGAATTAGTGTTTTACCTTCCTTTACTGAACTTCTAGAATATCTAATACTACTTATATGTAATAGTTTAACAGATAGCCATTCCCATAAACTTGTTTTTTTAAAAAAAATAGTTCTACACTCCACGCAGAATTTTTATTAAGCGAAACTGTTAAGCACAATAAAAACAATAACGTGTCTTTATATATGTGCAGTTTAGATGCAAATGAAGCTTTTGATACTTGCAACTGAGATTTGCTATTTGAAAAGCTCTATAAAAAAAAAAAAACTTCCGTTGTCTGTATTACACCCAACTTCATCACTTTATCTTTCTGGTAATGCAAACATATCCTATCAAGGAGTTATCTCAAATCAATTCAGTCTATCACAAGGGGTGCGACAAGGGTCTATTCTATCGCCGCATTTATATAACATTTATACTGAAAGCAACCTAAATGAAATAGTCTCAGAATGTAAAGTAGGATCAACAATAAATGGCATTTATCCTGGTGCAATTGCATACGCAAATGATGTAATTTTGTTGAGTCCTACAATCTCTGGTCTGCAAGAACCGATTAACAGATTTCAAACATACGGAGTAGCAAACTTTATCGAGCTGAGAAAACGGAAATACTGAGAAAACAGAATTTCTGATTTCCCTCAAAATAAATTAAAACATCTGGGTTTTCTATGGGATAATGATACTAGCATAAACAAAATTGCAACATTCCAAAAAACAAACTTAAATGAGCGTATATCTCAGTTTCAATCGGTTGCAATACCTCTAATCGACAGTGGATTAGTTACTGCCAGCCGTCAACAATAGTCCATTTATATAGTACTTTAACTGTGCTGATGTTTATTTATGGTCTTGAGTTATGCAAACATGATATTAGTTTTCTTAGCAAAATAGACGCTGTTGGAAGAGCAGTCTTAAAATAATTTTTCTGTATCTTAAAGTAAAATTTACCGACAGTAAAAATTACCGACATTCGTTTTTTAAAATAGAGGATATTTCAACTACTCTTTTTAGAAACAAAGTAAATCTTTTTATCAGGCTGTTGAAAAAAACTTGCTATTCACTGATGATCAATCAATCACAGGCAATACAAAATAAAAACTTCTTTCCTAATGAAGTGTTTGAAGCCTCCAACATGGTTGGTTTAAACTTCGTCCAGTGCATGATAAATGACAAAAAAATTAAATTCACGCAACCTATCAAAGACCTGCAAGCTGATGCTGTGTCAATACTGAAAGATACGTTCTAGTTTTAGAATTTGAAAGAAAAGAAAGAGTCGTTTTAAATTTTGATGGAGGAGAATGTTCCGAGAAGTCTGATCCAATAATTTGTGGAAAAAAACACACCAGCACTGGTTATTAGCATTTATTGCTTACAACTGCTGGAGCCGTTTAGTTTTAGCTGATTTTAATTTAATTGGTGACTACTTTTTTATAATTTATTTTACGTGTAGTTTATTGCCGGGTGATAAAGGGAAAGCATAATAACTACGCGATATTAGAAGTTCTGTATTGGACAGGTTAAGACCAAAGCCTCTTAACAGACTGTTGATGTCTCTATGGCTAGTAACTATAATCTTCTTTCCTCAACCACATCTGTGAAATTGTTCATTTACGGCAGGAAAAACGTTTTTACGGAGACGACAATATCTCTTATAATCACAATATACACAGTCAATTTTTAAGATTTTTAATTGCATTTTTAACATTGTTTGGAGTATAAAAACTACTGTAACTGTTGACAACTGAACTATAAATGTACTTGTAGATCTATTTTTTTATTAAGAAATATATGCCATCATATATTCCTCAATTAAAAAAATTTTTCCTATATTGTCTATGCTCCACAATTTTCGACTTGACTCTTCCTTTTACATCTACTTATGATGAGAGAAGCTTCAGTAAACCATTTGTTTCAACCCAAGTGGACGCAGACGTCCATATGACATCTATACAACGTTTAATAGACGCCACAAGTCCCTACAATATCCTAAAAATGTTCAACAACGTTCCGTACCCACTGGAAATAAAATTTCGCTGCTTTTAATATAAACTATTTGTTAATAGTTTGTAATAAAACTAGCTCAAGGTAATCTCATTATAAATTTTCACAAACTTTTGAGTAATAATATTATTAGAATGTTATTTCTCTAATAACATGTAGCCGCCATAGAAATTTTAAAAAACATTTGAAAAAGTCTTTCTCGAACTAAATTTAAGTATGATTATGTTTAGGTCAAATCTGAACGTTTTGCAAAAAATTTTATGAATTGTGATCAAAAATACCCCTACAAGCTAGCTGCCTCTGCCAAAACATGGCAATGACTTGATAAAATGCTTAGTATATCATACTAAATATATCTACAGTTTTTCAATTAAACTTAATTGTATTTTAGTGTTTGAAAGTTACGAACATATAAAATTAACAGCCCCCATTTTGATCAATTAACAGCCCCAATTTTGATCAAACTTTGCTCATTTGGATACTAAAAAAATATTATAAGGTATTTTATAATTATAAATAGTTAGAAAATATATATATATATATATATATATATATATATATATATATATATATATATATATATATATATATATATATATACTACTCTTTAACTACAAATAACTTCATATTTTTTTCTAATTTTTTAATAACTACAAATTATTTTATTAACTACAAATTTACTTTAATAACTACAAATTATAATTTATATATGTATATATATATATATATATATATATATATATATATATACATATATATATATATATATATATATATATATATATATATATATATATATATATATATATATATATATATATATATATATATATATATATATATATATATATATATATATATATATATATATATATATATGTATATATATATATATATATATATATATATATATATATATATATATATATATATATATATACATATATAAATTATAATTTATATATATATATATATATATATATATATATATATATATATTTTCTAACTATTTATAATTATAAAATACCTTATAATATTTTTTTAGTATCCAAATGAGCAAAGTTTGATCAAAATTGGGGCTGTTAATTGATCAAAATGGGGGCTGTTAATTTTATATGTTCGTAACTTTCAAACACTAAAATACAATTAAGTTTAATTGAAAAACTGTAGATATATTTAGTATGATATACTAAGCATTTTATATATGTATATATATATATATATATATATATATATATATATATATATATATATATATATATATATATATATATATATATATATATATATATATATATATATATATATATATATATATATATATGAAGACCTCAGAGGAAAAACCAGCGTTGTCACATTTTAAAAGTTTTGAGAAAATATTTATTGATCATTAATAAAAGTCTTTATATAAAGCAACAAAAAAAAGGAATTTCTAATAAAAATTATATAAATTTTATAATTAATTAAACTTTATAATTAAACTTTAAATAAATTAAACAAAATATTGCTTTTTTTTCTCATCTTTAATTTTCTTTGCCTAATATAAAAACTTTTATAAATGATCAATAAATCCTTTCTCAAAACTTTTTAAATGTGACAACGCCGGTTTTTCCACTGAGGTCTTCATATATATATATATATATATATATATATATATATATATATATATATATATATATATATATATATATATATATATATATATATATATATATATATATATATATATATATACATATATATAAAATATAATATATATATAAAATATATATATAATATATATATATAATAAAATATAATATATATATATATATATATATATATATATATATATATATATATATATATAATATATATATATATATAACATGAATGAATTCTTTACTTCAGTTGGACCAAATTTAGCAAAAAAAATTTCAAACATAAACAAAACAATAAACAGATGTAGTTTTCCTTTAATATCTTATCTAAATTCTTTTGAATTGTCTTTTGATGAATTTGATAGAGCTTTTAAAATGCTAAAGTTAAATAAAGCAGTCGGTCCTGATGATATCAATGGAAACATTGTCATTGATTCATATGATATCATAAAAAATATCCTTTTTAAAATATTTAAATGCTCAATTCAACAAGGAATTTTTCCTGATGAATTAAAAATAGCTAGAGTTTCACCAATATTTAAAGGTGGAGACTTACTTAATGTTAGTAATTACTGCCCAATATCTGTTCTCTCTGTTTTCTCAAAGATTATAGAGAGAATTCTTTATAATAAAATTTTTAATCATCTTTCTCAAAATAATATCCTATACAAAAATCAATATGGGTTTAAAAAAAATAACTCCACTGAACATGCTATACTCCAAATAACACAATATATTACTGAATCATTTGAAAGTTCCAAATTTACTTTAGGCATTTTTATTGACTTGTCTAAAGCCTTTGATACGATAGATCATAAAATTCTCTTTAAAAAACTTAAATATTATGGAATCTCTGGCAATGTTTTGAAGCTTTTAAAAAGTTATTTAAGTAATAGAAAGCAATTTGTTCACTATGACGTATCATCAAAATTAAACTTGTTAGATGTAACATGCGGAGTTCCTCAAGGGTCTGTCCTAGGACCTCTCCTATTTCTCATTTACATAAACGACCTTTATGAAGCATCTAATTTAATGACAATTATGTTTGCTGACGACACGAATTTTTTTCTATCTCATGGTAACATAATTACCCTATTTCAAAGTATGAACATAGAATTAATTAAAATTTCAGAATGGTTTAAATTAAATAAGCTTTCTCTTAACATTGAAAA